CCAAAAAAAATAAAAAAGTGTAATTCCCCAAAAGGGCAAACTTAAAAAAAAATATTTTTAAAAAAAAAAAAAAAAAAAAAAAAAAAAAGATCAGAATAATGTTTTAACCAGGAAACAAATGGTGGGTGGATATCTGATAACGAGTGGTAATATCAGGCTACTATCACATTGAGAACTTTGTGATTTCCAGCTACATGCATTATGACGCATTCATGAGATCACAGTAAGATAAAGTGTGTCTTCTAAAAAAGAAAAGTAAAACCTTCAAATGGTGAAAGATCTTTCTTGTAAAAATGTAATTCCTAAATGTCTGCCCTCTCGGGAAGTTCCAATACAGATCGGGGTATTTGTCTATGGGAACTGGGAGCTTGGCGATTGTAAGATTGAAGATTCCCCTCTGTTGTCGAGCTCGTTTTGAAGCCTGGTGAGGTTAGACAGTTCCTCAAGCTCCTGAAACTGTCTGTCAGTCTTGTGGCTGACCAGCGAGCGATAAAAATGCACAGCAAAGACTATGAAGATTAAACCAAACGGGACCATTATAGAGGTTGAGGTAATAGCAGCAGCCACACCAGAGGAGAAGGTGCTGTTGTTGGATTGGTCGGGCTTAATGGGCAGAAATTTCACCCAGCAGAGCAGAACAACCTCGGCGAGGAAGAGCAAAGTCCCAATCACAGTTGAAAAAGCCCACGCCAGCTCAATGTGTCTGTGCATCCGCTCATGCGGAGACTCCTTCACAGAGTTGAGGTTGTGGACGTTGCTGACCGCCTCTATGTTAGGCAGAATGCAGGTGCTGACCATCAGAGCAAACAGGTGAACAGCAACGAGCACAGTAGTGCAGGCACTGAAGGCGATGAGGAGAGCAGGTGGGTATGGGTATTTGTTGTCGAGCTGCACTTCCACCATCGCGACCTAACAGGAAAGGACAAACAAAATGTCATGTGATGAGTTCATCTCCAGGGGACTAGAAATTTATATATGAAGTTTGATTTTACCATGGCAAATCCGGAGAGCAAAGCTGATGTCCGGCTTGAAGCTTTCAGTTTGGCTCGACTCAGGTACAGCTTCCTCCAGGACAGGGCTTGCAGTGAATGCTCGTTCAGACTCATGTTGCGCTAATTATCACAACACCGGCCGAGCGGCGCAACTGTTTGGGAAAGCTTGCGCCACAAAACTAAAAGGAGTGAACAACTATGTCCCCTCAGGAAGCATTTAGACTCGTCGGCTGACTGTAACTGCGGAAGCTATTTTTTTCCACCCACAGTCTTCCTTCAGCGTGTTGATCTGCTTTGCACCTTAAATTACCCACAAGTCTACGCGCGGCGAGGGCAACATCCGCAAGCAAATAGTGACGGGAATTTCGAATCTATTCCGAGATCCAAATCTTTTGGCTCAATTAATTAAAGTCAGTTGATTAAAAGTTCTGAACTTAAAAACCTCAGTAAATTAGAATATGGAATAAGTGATTTCAATGATTTTTGACTAAAAGTAAATGAAACTCCAAGTTTAGTTTCAACTACCTTAAGGAAATGGTGAAGCAAAAGTCATTCAAGAGCTTGAATAAAATTCACAAGCTGAACTTATGTCATATTTGTGAACATGTGCAGACATGCATTTGTAAAATGAAAATCCAGTCCAAAGTATCAAACTAAAAGCTTAGACTTTCACAATATGCTGGATGTTGGAAAAATTTGAAAAGTTTATTGTTAGATGAAAACATCTAAACATCTAAACATCAACAAACAGCAACACATGACAAAATTATACAATACTAGTTTCTTGTGGCACTTAATTTCAGTATGCCAGGATAACCAGAAGGAGTCTGCAGCTTCTGTCAACATTCTGGTGTGGCTATGAAGTAAACACATATTAATAAAAACATAAAGCAGCTCTCAGACAGGAGTCAGCTCCTAATGTTCACAAAAAGTATTTGGTGCCTCAAGTCTTTTTGGTCATTGCAAGCACATCACTTTGAGATGTATTTGTGGGGGAAAGCGTTAGCAACAAGCAAAATATAAAGGCTTAACTGCAGCTGTGAACAATGAAAAGCCCAGAACTCTGCAAAAAATGAAAATTGTGCCTCAGAAAGTCAAGTAGCACACACATACAAATTGATCAAACTTTGTTGAGATGAAACATGAAAACATTTTTTCCACTTTTATCTTAAACTGGATTGAATTTGTTTTGGCATTGCAAGTGCGGTGTGGTATGGAAATGAGGTGACATATAGCCACAAATGCACTGCTATAAATTTGCAAAGCAAATATCTTACACTATGTTCTTTCATAGAGGATTTGGGACATGTTGGTTTCAAGTAAAATAAAACAAAAATAAAACTAACCCATCCTTAGGCACAAAGATGCAGACCAAAATCAGAAATTTAATAATTTCAGATTCAGTAATATCTTACTAATCCAACAGGGAACCGAGTTAAAAATAAAAAAAGGAATTTAAATGAGTACAAAATGTTAGTAGTATATTTCTTGATATGACAAGAAATATACTTGTCATATACCTAACACCTAACACCATAACCTTATTTGGAACGAACAAAATGTTATATTATCACTATCTAATTATATAAAAAACCCAAGGTGTTAGTTTAGGTGCCTGCAGTTTTACTCATCTATGCATGAAAAACATTTTAAAATCATCTTAAAGTCTGTTTATTTAAAGGTGGTTAATTAAACTACACGCGTCCTCTAAGGACGGAAGTTGCTTTTATGCGTTGTAAGCCGATGTTATGTAATGAATGTTTGTGGCTTGTAAAAACAGTGGAAAGCAGCGGAGTGACATGCCATGACGTTGTCCAACAATGTTTTGGTTCCTGACCATGACGTAAGACACAAAAACATGGTTCCCTTGTTTTGAAGCGTAAAGCGTGCTAAGTGCCTCCTTAACTTTACTACGCATGAGGATGCTTCCCCGAAACTGAGAGGCTGGAAAACGACCCGAAGAGACGATGGCCCAGTCCGTGGAGACGTGTGCTGAAACTGGACGGAGGCTGGTGTGTAGCATCCGCCGCGTTAACGTTAGCTTGTGAGAAGAGAGACTGGGTTAGCTTAGCTAACGTTTGCGACTGAAAACATTGGGGGGTATTTGTCATGTCATGGAAGCTGGTAAAGTTTGGGGGAAACAATAAAAAGAACGGCGTATGCCGAATTGTAGAGACCATAACTTATTTTATTTGTGTAACATTCACCAAGCATTTGAAAACATAAATAAGACAAATTGTTAAAGACGGGTGATTAAGTAGAAACAATTACAGTTATCACCAGCAGCTCCTTTCTCATTCGATAAGCGTCATTAAACGCTCGCAGCGCGAGAAGTCACATTTTACAGTTGTGCTGCTATGGTAACCGAAGTGGTGCTGTAAAAACTGAAATGTTTTACGCGTTAAAGTTAGACACTAAATGAACGTTCAGAGACTCTTTGCTATTCTTTAGTAACCATCTGTGGAGAAGAGTGGGCCTTTTTAGGGATCGCCAGTGGGCTTTTCACGCGTGTCTCTGTTTTTGTCATGTAAATAATGGCATTTTTCAATGGCAGCGCTCCATCTGCCGGAGGATGTACGACGAGAACGAGGATCTGTCTGACGTGGAAGAAATTGTAAACATCAGAGGTTTCAGCGTGGAGGAAAAGCTTGCCAGTGACTGCTATAATTCAGAGTTTGTTCACTTAATGGAGGGCAGAGGTAAAATCATGTCATACAACTTTATTATTCACTTGCAACAAAATACATGACAATTTGACTGGCAAAATATCGTTTTTACAGCAAAAAATATAGGAAGAGATAGCTACATGATTTGGAGTAAAACTGACAATATCCTGTCTTGCAGACTTCACTTATGAATATGTGCAAAGGGAGGCCCTCAGGATACCACTTATTTTTAAAGAGAAAGATGAATTAGGGATCAGGTAAGAAGTGTTCTACACAAAATAACAATTTTGTTACTCCTGAGGTTGTTTTCACTTTCTCTTAAAGTGTTTAATTAAACTATTGTTAACTGGACCACAATACACTTGCAGTAATTATTTAAAGTTGTTCATATTCAAATAACATAACTCATTAAATGTAAACAGATCCTTTTAAAACAACTAAGATGTATTTATATTTGCATTTGTAGTTGTGCAGATCTTTCCTGCAAAAACAGCTGAAAAACAAACAAAATCTCATCAGCATTACTGAGTATTTGTGTGCTTATTTTTTTTTGAAAGGACTGCTATAGTATAGAAGTGAACTTCTAAATTGTGTAATTGTGTCTCATTGTCAGACATGTTTCTTCGATAAGATCTGCTTTTCTATTTTTACAATAGTTTTTTTTTTTTTTTTTTTGCAGAATGCCTGACCCGGAATTTACAGTCAGTGAAATAAAAGGATTAGTTGGTAAGCAGAATGCCACAAATATATATATATATATATATATATATATATATATATATATATATATATATATATATATATATATATATATATATGAAGAAGATTTAATAAAGAAATCATTGCAACTCTGTTTTGACTTCCTGCAAACAAACCAGATCACCACATTAGAAATGACATAAAATTGTTTACATTTTTTCAGTTTGGCCTAATCTAGTGTCTGACAGTGACATATTTTGTAACACAGGATTATAAAGCCGTAGATTCTTTGTACTTAAAGCAGAAAAATGTTGTTGCTTGAAATTATTGGTTGCAAAAGACACTGATATATTTTAATGAAAATTATGGAAATATGTATTTAAATTTTTTAAGTATAACACTGAGATGAAAACTCACACAGGTCTCTGAACTGTGATATGCTATAGAAGAAGTCCCCCTCACTGCTATGATTATAATTTTTTTTGCCATTCTCTTTTTAGTTTCATTAATTTTGAATAAATCAGCCCCATCTAGTGGTGACTCATGTGAATGACACTTTGAGGAACCCCTAATTGGAGCAGATTTACAGTACCCTCAACATTTTCTTACACCTCTAGTAAAGATGTGTAGAAGTGGTAATTACTTTAAGTTTTTTTTCCAGTTGCCTAATCTCACACTGACAAATATCTTTAAGTTGAAAGAGTGAGAACAAACTACTGCAATAAAAGCTGTAGAAATGATAATGATAAATTATCAGTGTCACTGATAATGACAATTGTCTTAATTATGTTTCAAAATTGCAGCTTTATTGCAAACTTTCAATAATCAAAATAAGAAAACGTAAAAGATTTTTGCCTAGATTGTAAGAAAATGACCTTTGTGGTATAAAGTCCCGTGTAATACCACAATTTGTAGTTTTTGTAATAAATCCAATGATGAGTTGATTTGACCTGTTTTGTTGCAGGCAGTCGCAGGTCTGTGGATGTCATGGACGTGAGCACTCAAAAAGGCTCGGAAATGAGCATGGCTCAGTTCGTCCGCTATTACGAGACCCCGGAGGAAGAGCGTGACAAACTCTTTAATGTCATCAGCTTAGAGTTCAGCCACACTAAGCTGGAGCATCTCATCAAACGGCCCACAGTGGTAGGAAATGCATAGTGATATTGTGAAAATGTTCGTAGGCGTTCAGAAACCTCTATGAGCTTGACTGAAAACTTGTTACTCAGGCACAAACGTCCAGTTTTAATCGTTTTTACAGGTGGATCAGGTTGACTGGGTGGACAACATGTGGCCTCCTGATCTGAAGCACAGCCAAACAGAAGCTACCAACATCATTTCAGAGATGAAGTACCCCAAAGTGCAAAGGTAAAACTTTGCTAATGTATCGATTGTAAATACTGTAAAGTATTTCCTTTACTGTTGTCCTCCTTGTTAGTTTCTTATAGTTGGAATGTGTTTTTTGTTTTTTGCAAGTGTAACTGTTTTTGCTGCCATCTTCTAAATGGTTAATATTTGTCCAATTTTTAATTATATGTTTTTTTTTTCCGTAGAACTAAGTATGATCTTATTTTGTTTTCAGGTACTGTTTGATGAGTGTAAAGGGCTGCTACACAGACTTTCACATTGATTTCGGAGGAACTTCAGTTTGGTATCATGTATTCAAGGGACAAAAAGTATGTTTGTGTTTTATCTTCATACCTAAACTATATTAAACTCATACTTAAAGTAAGATTTTGCTTCATGTGGTTTAATAATTGGTAGCCCCAGGTTTTTTTTTTTTTTAACATTATCCCAGTCCATTGCAGTAAAAGCCCCCTGTAACAACACTTCTTTTTGCCAGGTATTCTGGCTTGTGCCTCCAACCCCACATAACCTTGCACTGTATGAGGACTGGGTCCTTTCAGGCAAGCAGAGTGACGTCTTCCTGGGAGACCGAGCTGACGGATGCCAGAGAGTGGAGCTGAAGCAAGGA